TCCTGGAGGGGGCTGGAGGGAAGGGCAGCCTGGGGGCTCAGACCCAGCTGAACTGATCCAGATTCGCTCATGGTTTCTTTCACAGGCCTTCCAGGCCTGGAGCAAGAGGGTGACAGAGGCTGGGAGGATGTTTTTGTCTCACTTCCCCATCTGCCTGTGTCACTGTGGGATCATAACTACTGCTGTCCAACACCTGACAGTAATAGTCAGCCTCATCCCTGGCCTCGACCCCGCTGATGGTCAGGGTGGCCGTGTTCCCAGAGTTGGAGCCAGAGAATCGCTCAGGGATCCCTGAGGGCCTGTTGCTATCTTCATAGATGACAAGCACAGGGGCCTGGCCTGATTTCTGCTGGTACCAGTACACATTTTTACCTCCAATGTTGTTTCCCCCACAGGTAATCTTGGCCGTCTGTCCTGGGGCCACTGACACCGAGTGTGGCTGAGTCAGCTCATAGGAGGTGGCAGAGCCTGCAAAGATTAAAAAAAAAGTAGAGCTTGGGTTGCAGGTGAGACACTTTTTCTGATATCACTTACTTTCCTGACCTGGACAAGCTCCAGAGAGTCTGTGAGGTCTTAGGGTATCCCCTGCAATCCGCCCCAGTCCCAGTGGCCCATGGACTTTCCTGTTGCATGGAGCCTTTGACCTGAAAACCCACTCCTCTCTCCTGGCAGGGGCAACCCCTCAGGCTCTCACAAGCCTTTGAGCAGAGTGTGGGGGACTTCAGCCCCGCCAGCCCCTCCACCTGCAGCAGGTCATGAGCATCCTGACCACCACAGGCAGGGCCCTGCTGAGCTCAGACTCAAGGCCACGCGGGACCCAGAGTCCTGGGTCTGGGCAGGTTGGTGAGACCCTGGGGGCAGCACCTGTGCAGTGAGCGAGGAGGCCGAGGAGGAGAGGGGTCCAGGCCATGGCTGAGGCTCCCCCGATGCTGCTTCCTCAGGCCCAGGCTGGGCAGGTTCCTTCCAGGCCTCTCTTATCCCCTTGCTGAGAGAGTGGCCCGTGATGCAAATCAGCAGAGTCAGGGGCAGCTGCTGGAGGAGCTCTGTGGTTTCCAGAGAAGGGCTCAGCTCCAAGGGACGCAGAAGGAGGAGGGGAGACCCCTGCTTACCCACCCCCTCCGCCCATGGGATTCTTCTTCACCCACTGGTCCCATAGTCTGTGCTCACGTCTTTACCCAGACTGCCCAGCCTTGCTCCTGAGCTGGGTTGGTCATGGAAAAGCTCAGAGCTGAGTTTCTCTGTATCCTCCAGAGAACATAAAGGTTTTCCATTAGAATAGTGGTTGGCCTGTTCAAGAGATTTCCAGAGTCACAGTGGTGGGAGAATTACCTGGGCCCACAGCCCCCACCTCCATTCCATCCCGGCTCAGGAGACAGGTGGTTAACTTTGTTCTACTTCTCCAGGAATGTCCTGATCATAAATACTTGATGTCAGACATGAGATGTCTGGTGTAGGCTTAAATCCCTTTTGAAGACACACTCCACAGCCCAGTGCAGGGGCCCTCTTCATTCCCACTCTACAGGGGACAGCACAAGCCTTGGACAGGTACAAGTTTCACCCCAGGGCACAGCTCCTCAATGCTAGAGGAAAATGCAATTCTTGTGTGCCGGGTGCACAGAGTTGTAGAAGATCCATGGGATGTGGTAAATTTCTACCTTGGCTGTGAGTTCTACTGCCGGGTCATAGGTGCTGTGCCTCAGTATCCCCAGGGTCCTTTCAGGAGAGGGACAAATCAGTAGTAAAGGAAACATTTGCTTCATGAGGGAATGAGAGGAGGCTGCAAACTCCAAGACCACGGAACTGCATGTTTATTATAACTAAGTTGTCTTCAGTTGCTGGGAAAATGTATCAATGGATGAAAACTGAAGTCAACAGAAGATTAGTGAGCAAGTATTTTATGCCTCATGAGGAAATCAAGAACTGTGATTTGGCAGGATCGCAGGACAGAGTCGGGAACACGGAGGAGTGGTGGAGAAGGAGAAGCCGCTGTGTCTGCAGGACGGGGGCTCCCAGAGCAAAGGGCAGGGAGGTGGGACACGTGTGACTGCAGAATGGGATGGCACGTGTGACCGTGGGATGGGGGCCAGAGCAATGGGAAGAGGGGAAGTGCCCGAATCTGTGTCAGAAAAATAAGCACCATGTCCAAGAGTCAGATCTGAGAACCAGGACGTCAGAAGAATGTAAACATCAGTGTCAAGGACAAACACACTAAGAAAAGAAGAATCTATTTCCTTCCAGGTCTCAGGTCATGGTCACTAATGCTCCCTGCATGTCAGCGTCTGCTTGATACCCAGACCCTCCCCATCCCCAGGTGTTTTTGTCAGGTTACTCTCTGCTGCCATCTGGTGGCCACTCTACACTGGTGGCTGGAGGCTCAGGGGCCTCCTGAGTCCAGGTTAGCTTCAGAATCTGCTGCTCAGCTTCCTGATTCCTTAATTCATGTATTGCTGACCTCAGGGAGAAATTCCTCTTCTCTGTGTGGCCCCTTCCTGCCTCAAGACCCAGCGCAGGCCACTCAGATTCCTGATGGAAATACAAACACTCCCATGTGCAGGAGGAGGTGACAGGACCCTCCTGAGGCTCCCTGCATGTATCTCTGGGTGTGGCTTGGTGCTGAGAGGTACAGGACTCAGAGGTGACATTGACTGGTTCTGGATACAAATACAGGACCAATGTGTGTTGCTGGTGACTCCTGAAAGACATCAGAGACAGAAGCTCATTCACCCAACAAATATTCACCCTGACCCACTCTGTCCTGGC